GAGTACAACCCCAAGAACACCATCCCAACCGTGAAGCATGGAGGTGGAAACATCATTATTTGGGGATGCTTTTCTGCAAAGGGGACAGGACAACTGCACCGTATTGAGGGGAGGATGGATGGGGCCATGTATTGCGAGATCTTGGCCAACAACCTCCTTCCCTCAGTAAAAGCATTGAAGATGGGTCGTGGCTGGGTCTTCCAGCATGACAACGACCCAAAACACACAGCCAGGGCAACTAAGGAGTGGCTCCGTAAGAAGCATCTCAAGGTCCTGGAGTGGCCTAGCCAGTCTCCAGACCTGAACCCAATAGAACATCTTTGGAGGGAGCTGAAAGTCCGTATTGCCCAGCGACAGCCCCGAAACCTGAAGGATCTGGAGAAGGTCTGTATAGAGGAGTGGGCCAAAATCCCTGCTGCAGTGTGAAAACCTGATCAAGACCTACAGGAAATGTATGATCTCTGTAATTGCAAACAAAGGTTTCTGTACCAAATATTATGTTCTGCTTTTCTGATGTATCAAATACTTATGTCATGCAATAAAATGCAAATGAATTACTTAAAAATCATACAATGTGATTTTCTGGATTTTTGTTTTAGATTCCGTCTCTCACAGTTGAAGTGTACCTATGATAAAAATTACAGACCTCTCTACATGCTTTGTAAGTAGGAAAACCTGCAAAATCGGCAGTGTATCAAATACTTTTTCTCCCCACTGTAGATGCAGTGAAAAGGAGAAAGTCCTACATAAGTTCCACTAAGATAGGGTAGGGAGTTTGAGTTATACGGTGCTGTGAATCAGGGCTGGTTGGAGGAAGTTCCCTCTATTTCTCAGGGAGCAATAATATTCACTCTGGTTTATGGCTCCATGAATGGCCAGAACAGGCTATAATTATGGTGGAGGAAATAGAAGTTGGAGAAAATATTCCACTTTCTTCATTGTAAATATCAGACGCCCATCCACCTGTACACACAATCCATATGCCCCATAGATGTAAACAGACTGAATGAAAGCTATTTAATTGGCCTTAAAATTGTAATTTAGTTGTTAAAACTCTGAATGAAGGCTTTGAAGAAAAGGAACCCTGAAATTGCTCTGCTCTGAATGGTGTGTTATATTCCCTGCTGTCGCCAGGCTATTCATCCATTCTTACAGTATATTTGAAAAATGCTTGTTGTGATGCATGTATCTCCCTGCCCCTCTTCCTCCCCGCCTGGCATTGTTACGACACAAAGGACCCCAACCTTCTCTTTCAGCACACACAAAGACAAGGCAAAGCAGGAATAAACAAATTCGAAAAACATTGCTCAGGCAAACTAGTCATCACCAGATGACACAAAAGCAAATCATTTTGCGCATGAACGAAATATGCCACCATGTCCACCTCTGGGCAAATAGGAGGGGAAAGTTTCATTCAGAGCATCTGAGAGGAAAAACTAGTTTCTTATTTACATGTCAAAACAAAAAAAGACAAAGTATATCATTTCTGAGAAGCTGTATATTACTGTAAGTGGGGTAGGGCAATCTACTGCTGGAGGCTCAGTGAAAGGATGCTGTTTACATATAATATGGGTTGGACTGGCTCAGCCTGTCTCCTTGAACTCCGGGCTCCTCCATTGAATAGCCTTAACTATACTGAAAGTACTGCATGGTGTCTCCATGGAGTTGTTCAAAACAAATATTTGACTGGAGAAACCTTTTTCAAAAGAGCCAGGAACATTTTTCAAAAAGAGCCTGGAACATTTTTCAAAATAGCCTGGAACATTTTTCAAAAGAGCCTGGAACATTTTTCAAAATAGCCTGGAACATTTTTCAAAAGAGCCTGGAACATCTTTCAAAAGAGAGCCAGGACATTTTTTTAAAGGGTCTGGAACATTTTTCAAAAGAGCCTGGAACATTTTTCAAAAGAGCCAAACACCAAATTCTTCAGCTTGCTTGGCTAGACCTGGCTATGTCTGGTTTACACTTATTTCAAAGAACGTTGTTCTATGGGTGACATTTAGATTTTGGTTTGGTCACACTGACTGAATGTGATGGATGAGGTGTTATTGGTAGAAATGTTCTCCTTTTTGAAGCACCTTTGCCACTTTGTCCCTTACAGGTTTTCGTTCAGTCTCACACACACACACACACACACACACACACACACACACACACACACACACACACACACACACACACACACACACACACACACACACACACACACACACACACACACACACACACACCTACAGTCATTTACTAAAAGTATCTTACGACCTGTGTTTATAGCTACGTCCATTATGTCTTTGACCTCGGCAATGGTCCGTCGCTGATGAAGGGCAACTCGGACAAGCCACTCAACGACAACCAGTGGCACAACGTGGTGGTCTCCCGGGACGCCAACAACGTGCACACGCTCAAGATCGACTCACGCACCGTCACCCAGCACTCCAATGGAGCCCGCAACCTGGATCTCAAAGGTAAGGGGCATTATTCCATATCCCCTTTTCCGTAGGTAACTACTGTAGTTGAAGGGTCCTCCGTGGCTCTACTACTAATCAAGTTTGTCAATATTGGGCACATATCCCAATATATTTGGTTCTTCTCTCTCTGGTTCTCTCCAGCTTTCAGTGAGTTACTCAGAGATTCCACTGTGTTTTAAGTAGCGTTCCTGTGGCATGCACAGTCGGAAATAGTCAACCATGTCTGCAGAGAATGCTCACTGAGCAAACCAGCTGTGACTTATGAAAGATAGTTCCCCAAAGAGTCATGCCAAGACTTGGCTGTCTTTACACACACTCAGCCGGTCCTTTCACTTGATACGACTCTTGGCTGTCTCTCAGTGAGACAGTATTTCATGTACTGTCACGCAACAATGACAATAAAAGTCTCTGTGTCTGTAATGTGTGTACCATGAGACTTGGGCTGAAAAGGTGCTGAAAAGTTGCTGACTATCTGACAGTTAACATTAACCTCCTGTGGTGTGTGTGAGTGTGTGTGTGTGTGCGTGTGTGCACCTTTATTCCCCCTTCGAGTATGCTAAGAGTGTGCACATGCCCGTACGTGTGCACAGTTATTTATTCATTTTTATTCTGTTTGTTCAGCTTTCAAATGCATGCCCGTTCAGGAGGCTTGGGGTTCAGGTTAGGCAGAGTAGAGAAACCCGCTCCCGGTGCCAATCGCAAATCCGCCCGCCAAACAACAGTGGACAGCAGGCAAAATTAAACCTAACAAAAGGCTGGCAGGCAGCCCGCCGCACCAACCAACCCTCTTCACCTTGAAATATGATCCTCTCCTTCAGCCGCTGTCGGCATCCCCGGACGCTCTGCACAATTTCCCCAGCCAATCAGCCCCTCCTAATATGAACTAAAACCCCTGCGTCTCCAAAGAGATTGAAGGGGGAAAATAACAACAATATCGACGAAAACAAACCCCACATATTCCTCTTCCTCCAACTAGACGCGTCTCTATTTGAAATTCTGCTGGCGGTCCGACGTTGGGAAAACAAAGTACCCCGGGTACACTTGACTTTCGTCAGAGATGTGATCACCACTATCAACAATGGCTTTCAGGAGAGAAGCATCTGTTTCTTCCACAGGGGGGGTGCACTCCCAGTGGGTGCTGGCGGATCTGAGAAGTCAAAAGATCAAAGCCAACTATGACTTTTATAAGGCATGGCTTATTGATGGGGTACGTCCTCTCTCTGTCAGTACCTTTATCTGCAGGGCCGACTGGTGCCATTAAATAGGCTGTGTTAATCATGAGTGGATTTCAGCTGACTGGCGCAGTACCAGGGACCTTATATTAAGGGAGGATAGTGATTACACATATCCCTGGATGTAGCTTGATAAGAGGGAAGAATCAGGAGGCCTGTGGAAAGAGGACGGCAATAAGTAGGTATAAACCGCAGGATATGAACTCGGGTCTCCCACAGGAGCAACCAATGTCTTAGACTGTTAGACCAAGAGGACATTCAGTTTTCTGCTGAGCGTAGACACTGTTCATTCATATCAGTGCAGATGAAGTCGTGGAGAAGAGGAAGACTATTGAGATTCAGTGTGGGCATTGAATGTCATAAACGGCTGCCAGAAACTAAGCGTGCATCGTCAACAAGCCTCTTGGCCTCCAAATCAAGTCAAATCAAATCAAATGTTATTTGTCACATACACGTGTTTAGCAGATGTTACAGCGGGTGTAGCGAAATGCTTGTGCTTCTAGCTCCAGCTACAGACCCCGCGTTGCTAGCACTGCCATTTGCATATTTGAAAATGTGTGAAATGTGTCTCTGTAAAAGTAACAGAAGGCCCCGGCAATTTGTGAAGAAAAAGGGGGTGGCCATTTTCCCCTTTTCATTGCCAACCGACATGGTGAGTGTTCTTCGGCTCACTGGGTGCTAGACGAGGCGTTGTATAAACACTGAATCCACACGTCTGTAGATAGCATGGCACTTCACTCTCACTATCACTAAGGGATGGTTCTAAATGTACAGAAGGGGTCCCTGGAGGAAAATGGGGGAGGGTCATGCTTTTTCAATTTCAGTCAAGAGGAGGGTTTAGTCTTTTTAAAATCTCATCCAGGGGAGGGTCATGTAATTTGTAATTGATGAAATTTCAATATTTCTCTGTGTTTTAGAATGAGTTGCTTATTAGGCTATATTGATGTGATGCCGCGCCTCATCTCTGTTTCTCCACTGGGTTCGCAGTATCAAGTGGGCCTATAGGCTATTTAGTGTGGTCTCAATCAAATGATCCATAGCCTACAGGCTACGAAGTGCATGCTCAGAGAAGCACAGAGCAAATTATATTTCTCAGATAGCTGCTGGGATGGTGTAAATAAAACTAGGCTGTATTACACACTGTGATGGATGTTCCAACCCTGAGCCCCGGCCTGCTCTGCTCTTGCTGATCCAAAAAATGTTTGTGTGCTGCCTAACAATGGCTGTGCTGTGTAGGTCTACAGTGGCAGTTCAGGAGGAGAGTTAAAGGTTTCTTCTGATTTTTTATTTATTTATTAAGCCTAGTCCAAAAAAGTCACTATCTTGTGCACGGACTAGCCTATAGTCTATGTTCTGTTCACTTTGAGAAGGAGGACCGGAGGTCAACTTTGATAGCTTGCTACTACTATAATTGATTTGATTAAAAACAATATGTTTCTTGCCCATGATGTAGGCCTATTTATCAGAGTTATTGACCTCACAATAAGCCAGATTCTAGTAATTTACATTGTGGTGCTGAAACTTGAAGCAGCAGCCGTGGCACAATCAATCGGAAATTGACAGCTCATGGTGCTGAAAGTAGGCAAATTCAAGTAGGCATAATTCATTTCAACAGTCTTCATTTTAATTAGACTTTACTAACAACAAGAGGGCTTTGTGTTGGAGCCCATTTCTTCCTATTGAAGAAATTAGAGGTAGGCCTACCTGTTTGACAGACGAAATTAGGCTATAGGCTGCTATATCCACAGATTTGTCAGTCAATTCCTCCACCCACCATGCATTCTTTAAATAGCCTACCTCCATGTCAGTGAAGGGCTGTTAAGTTAAAACCAAGACTCGAATTGAGGGGGTATGAGAAGGTGTGGCCTACTTTTTAATAAAGAAAATGGCAAAAAGCACAGGCCTACCCCTTGTTAGGTTAATATTTAGAAGAAAATAAACCGGATCTGATTATATAAAGTGATCTATAACAGCGCTTTGGTCTGCGATGCTTTATGCTAGAAACAATCTGTAAAATACCCGGGAAAGACGTGACTCCTGCATATGGGGATATCATTGTTTTGTTTCTTTGACATTCAGAGGCTGTGCTACAACATTCTATAGCCGAGGAGGCAAAACATTTACTTTGCTTGGGAAGTAATCTAATTATGTCACTATCAATTGATTAAGCTATTCACTTTCTAGACCATAGAAGATGTTTAAACCCAGACAGCTTTTAGGCAAACACTTGTGAAGTTCTCTTGTTTGGTTAAGCCACGGAAGAAGAGTAGCCAGCAGTTTAAAGTGTACATTTTTATGCATCGGTAGGCTTACTCTGTCTGGGGTGGAAAGGTCGGCCTATCTTTGGAAGGTACCATGCTCAGATTTCTAATGACATCTCAAATGTAATTATTTGCAAACAGGGACAGTTTCATTGCAAACAAGACACACTGATTTGGCATTGGAGAAATATGATAAGATGAACTCATAGGCCTCTCTCTCTGTCCATTCTTAGCCTGTCATTCCGTTAATATGTCTGATATAAAAAAATATGTAAAATAGAATTGCATGAAATGTTTATATAAGGCATTTTTTTCTCTGACTTTCAAATACGTTGATAGATTCATTCAATGCTTTTACTAAAGGAGATCTCTCCACCCCTACTGTTGTCCACGGTGGTCTGCGAACCCACAACCTTCTGGCCCGCAGCCCTGTACGCTATAAACATTACTGCGTTGCCATGTGGTGCTTACAGGACGGTTTAGGTCAAATATATTTAGCTGAAGGGAGGGCCATCCATTTTCATTTGGGAGAAGTCCGATTTTCTTATAAATAACTTTAACTCCCTTCGTGTTGTTTTGGTCTTTACTTTCTTTATCTTTATCTGCTGAGCTCCAGCCTTCAGGGGATATAGCCTACAGCGTCGCAGCGCTTGTGGGAAGAGTAATAGATGTTCATCTTTTTTCCAAGGACCTTTACTGGGGAGTGATGTCTCTATCCACAATCCCCTAGTCTAATTGTATATTCAGACGGTGCTCTGAAGTCCACGGCCAATTCCCAGACTGAGACGTCGGCAACTCCCGTCTCTATCCAATACACCTAGAGACATACACATAGAGAGCAGAGAATTGCACACACACACACACACACACACACACACACACACACACACACACACACACACACACACACACACACACACACATACACACACACACGCACATACACGCACACACACATACACACACACACACACACACACACACACACACACACACACACACACACACACACACACACACACACACACACACACACACGGACAAATGCACTAATACTCTCACATATATACACACATCTATCCCTTATCACACAAATACCTAGTGTATCCTCCAGTAGTCCACAGCAGTCACACATACATAGCTTTTTGTATCAAACGTTTCCCCGGACCAATCTCAGTGTGTGTGTTGGTGTGCACAGCATCCCTGACAGCACTAGCAGAAAAGTTTCAAGGCCTTGTTGGTGTGTGTAATTGACCAGAGAAAATGGGTTGTCAGTTTTCTTTTCTTTTTCCTTGTTCTAAAGTGATTCTTTTGGAGTGGTGGAATCTTCAAGCATCCAGATTGTCAGAAAACAATATGGAGTCCCACAGGAGAGGGGAAGTGGATCCTGTTCAGTTTGTTATGTGCAGCGGCAGTGCTGATAGTACAGTCACCAAGGAACCGATGTTGAAGAAACAGAAGTAGGATGAAACGAGCACTGTCATTGTGACCGGTTGCATCACCGCCTGGAATGGCAACTGCTCGGCGTCCGACCGTAAG